ATACTTGTCCCCGTGGGTCTCTAATAAAAATGGCCGTGCGAGAGGTGCTCGCAAGTGCCGCGATATAGATCACGGAACTTCGGTAGGCTACCATATTTTGGTATGAATAATCTGCTTCAGTCGCCACAGTACCAAATGTGGATTTCTGCTCCACGTATCAAGTAGAACAATGTAATAGTGAATAATGCATTGCGCAGCAATCTGCCACACTATTGGTATTTACCTACCGCAGTTATTACGGTAGTTGAGTAAATTGTGTCGGGTTCATTAGCCTGATGCCAGTATGTTCCCTGGAGACTGCTCGCGTGCCATATGGGCGAGTATATGCGAAAAAAGACAATGCGATCTGCGCGCATCTGTGCTACGACATCGCGTCCCGTCCCCTGTACTCTTTCCGGTCGCAGGACGGCGTTTAATTAGCTCCTCTGGGCCATATGTGTGGAGTGATAGCGCGCTTCATCAGGCTTCTCTCTTTCCTCGCAGTTTTTAGCAGTCTTATCAGAGCTGACACGCCGAATGAGTTTCTATTTCTCCCGCTGATTCTGACGGGTCGGATGAGCCTCTATCTCTCCGGACGTCTAGCGTCCGTGTGTTTTTTGTTGATGTTCCTGATGACATCAGCGGGAGCGCGCCGTGCTAAAGCTGATAACGGAGAGCTGTGCTGATGCTGAGCCTTATAACAGTGCTGTGGCTGACCACACAGTGGTGGCTGCAGAGCTGGGGCTGGTCAGGACGAATGCAGTGTTCTGTCAACGACTGCAGTGTTCTGTCACTTGTCAGCCCACCATGCCCCACATCCGTCCCACTGTGTCGTCCCACCACCCACCGCCCGTTCATCAGTTCCACTGTCGTCCCGGCATTCTCACCACCCAACGTCTGTCCCACTGTCGATCCCATCACCCTCCGTACATCCATCCCACCGCGTAGTCCCACCACTCACCCACTGCCCCACTGCTGTCCCACCACTCACCCACTGTCCCACTGTCGACAGGTGGGAGCGCCGGCACCGCCGAGTTCTCAGTCATGGTCGACCCGGCCGTGGAATCAATACACTGTTGCGTCCACAGAGTACGGGTAAGCTCCCCTCCCTCGGCGTGACAGAGGCCAGGAGACAGTGCGGGCGTCTGTTGTGGCCGGGAGGTGGGTGGTGCTGGCGGTATGGTGCTAGATGGTGCTCGCGGTGTGGTGCTGGGTGGTGTGTGTTGTTGAGTGGTGCTGGGTGGTCCTGGGTGTTGGTGAGTGGTGCTGAAATGTGTGGTGTTTTGTGGTGATTGGTGATGCAGTGTTGTGGCATATGCTATCGTATGGTGCGTGGTTACGTGTGGTGTTGCGTTCGTTGTGTTCTGTTGTTTTGTGTAATGCTGCGTATCGTTATGCTGTCGAGCGATGATGTGTTTTTTAGGGGCTAACCAAATGTGCTTGTGATTATACCTAATGATTATACCTAATGATACTAAGCCAGACCGAGTTCACTGACTTGTCATCTCGCCAGTTATCCTTCTAAGGAAACAGTTATCTTTTTGCAGTTGAGTGTTTCCTATGCAATACACCGTAATTCACCCACCAAGCATCCCATGTGAAGATTTATGTTAGAGATGTTTCTTTGTGGTCGCTGAACGGATTAGCAATGTGACCTAATGCATTAGCTGACGGGTTAATTATTGACACTATATTAAATATGTTTCATTGTGTATTATCCCCCGGTCTCTTGTTACAGGGTTTGTGTCCGCTGGACGGAGAGATTGTAAACGCCTACGTAAAACTGCATCTGGTGCCTGGTTTGCATAAGGTATGAAGGTGACGGCCTTCGTGCAACAACACATTTCCAAAAAATGCCTCCGTCATGTTGATAGGGGCATCCGATTTATCCATGCAAAAACATTCAATGTATCGATGTACTCATCGTTGAGAGCTTTTCCGACTGCTCTTGCGTCCTCAAAACATGCTTTGTTTCTTTGTACGATGATTTATCACATACCCGCAGGTTCAAGTCTTTCATGAAGACTCGTGTATCCTGGCTCAGCATTCTGTGTATTCAGTATTCCCGGGACTTCGCTCCACGCTTTGATGCCGCGCTACGGCAGGACTGGCTATCTTGCTATTTGTTTGCTACCTATCGTCTTTGCTGCTGAAAATGCGGTCTTTGTTGCGGGTCATTTGGGTCATTTCATGCGGTGCATTGCGGTCAATCATATATCCAAGTGCATGTAGTGAATAGGATTACCTTTTTCTTTCATTCTTCTTCTTTGGCTCCTGAGCGGAAGTGCTTTTACCTTGCCGTGCTTTAAGTGGGTATGATATTTTAGATATGGCCAAAGCATATCTAAACTCACCGAATGCTATATTTGGATTCATAGTTAGAGACAGTGCGTGTTTTCAGAACATTGTTGCCGTACAGCACCGCCCACTCTCACTGTTGATAATTTCAGACGAACAAGCTTCGGACGCGAACGGTCTCGGGCTCCTCAGACGCCGAGTTCAACGAAACTCTCACCTACTGCAACGTTCACTCGGATGTGGTGGCCAGCAGCACTCTGTGGGTGTCGGTACTCGGTGAGTTTCAGGGGCACTCTGTGAGTGTCGGTACTGGGTGAGTTCCCCATGCAGCACTCTGTGGGTGTCGGCACGCGGTGAGTTCCAGGGGCACTCTGTGGGTGTCGGTACTGGGTGAGTTCCCCATGCAGCACTTTGTGGGTGTCGGTACTCGGTGAGTTCAACGGACACTCTGTGAGTCAACACGAAATGTCTCGTTGCGATCCTTTCACTGTATATAAAACGCCGCAAATGACTGTTCTCTACTCATTTCAACTTGGTCATTATCCGCCTCCAATTGATGTAGAATATTTCACCGTTATAATCTTTCCTAGAAATGTCAAGGTTAGTATCAGAATTACAGCGGCCAAAGTAATCACCCCCCCCCCCCCCTGCAGATTACATACAGTCCGGCGGTGACCGCCCTCTGCACGCTCACTCCCCCCCCCCCCCGTGTCCCCGCAGATGAGAACCCGAACGGCCACGACGTCCTGGGTGAGACGCTGGTGTGGCTGGCTGACATCCCTCCTCATCGGCTGCACTTCTTCTGCAAACCCCTGCTCCCCATAGGCAGCGTAAGTCGTACACACTGCTAAAGATATGGCACAACAGGATACCGATAGAGCATAGACAGTGTACCTAAAGCGTACACACTGGTAACGACAGGCAGTATAAGTCTACTTCACTGCTAAAGATAGGCACGACAGGATAACGAATGATATTCGAAATTTTCCGCGGTCGCTTTGCAACAGGTCACTCTTTCGCTGTAAAGAAATATACCGACAGTCGCTATTTTACGCCGTCGCTCTATAACCCGTCGCCCTTTTATGTAAAGAATCGCTCAAGTGAAGTCTGTGTGTCGCTGTTCTGAGAGTCGCTATAGACACTGTCGCTATTGTGAGTATGTCGCTGTTTTTGGGTCGCTATTTTCTGAGTCGCGGTTTGACACGCCTGCCCCGTCCACGGCGCTGTTTTTGCACTCTCGGCAACCAAAGCTAGCCTTGATGAGAATATCGAATGAAAGGTGAATCGTAATCAACCTCGCCGTCTCTGCCTAACTACATTAAGCTACTCCAAATAAACATCCAAATCTCGTCATTGAGGGGCATAGATAGGCTATGCAATCAGAGGATGATTAATTCAATGAATGACGGGGTCTGGGGAAAAATATCAAGGCCAGTAATTTGATATTGATGCGTGCGCATCTAAATGCTCGTTAGATAACTTCCAAATTACTACTGGGTACTGATATGGCACAAAAATAGTGAAAAACCTGTTACATTTTCGGCACATATGTAGGTACAGATATTATACAATGTATGGGCTGGTTAGGTGCATGCCCTTTCTCCTGGTCGTGTCGTAGGTATACAGCTTGCGGGAATAGATCAACAATTAACGAATATCTTTCCAAACCAGTAACAGGTATACCACACCACAATATCTTTTCACTTAGGTCAAACAAATGTCGTCCTTTGTAGGCTGAAGCTCCCGATAGTCAGTCATTTGTGTTGCGCCCAATTCGGCCTGACATCGCAGTGTCCAGCCCGCGATATCTTTAGCCTGCACGTCGTCCCGGATCGCCGAAATGGTCCGATGACGTCAGCAGTGTGGCCGCCGCTGATTGGTGGGCCGGGCCGGTTCACAGGGCGACTGCGACTCGTACCAGGGCCGGATATTGTTGTCTCTGAAGTACGTCACCACCCGGCGAGTGCTGGTGGTCGGCGTGGTCCGCTGTGTCGACCTGCCCGCCCCGGACGGCAACGGAGTGCCCGACCCCTTCGTCAAAGTGTGAGTTTCTTTTCGTATTTAAAATATAGTCCTGATGTTCCTTAACCCTATTAGTGGCAGGCTCCTGGCTACCCCTATTAGTGGCAGGGGGGGCTGTTTACGACCCCCCTTGATATCTCGAGATCTAACGGGCCGATTTTCAAAATTCAAACGGCATTCGATTTCGCTCAACGTGATCTACATTTCTAAAAAATAAAAATTAAAAAATGTCAATGGGGGGGGGGGGGGGTAGAGGGGGGTAAAAACGGGCAAATTGCAGATACATTTTAGACTGTTTATCACGGCCAGGTTTCTGAACCAATTTCAACGCAACTTTTGCCGATCGATAGAAAATGAACCAGGAATTCACATGGATCCTAAAAATATGCATTTTCAAAAATCATAGGCGGATACAGATCATTGAGATGGGGTACACAAAAAGTATAGTAAATAAGGTTTTTGTTGGTACTGTTTCTAAAAAGGGTGGTAATGGTCTTGTTATGTTACAATTTTCTTATGAGAGAACGACTACAATTGTATTGGTCATGCATAGGCGGTGTCAGGGCACCTATGTTGGGAGGTAAAACATAACCCCCTTTTTGGACGCCTGGATCCGCCTATTATAGCAAAAAGGTGTCAAAAGAGGATGCACAATAACTGTATATGTTATCACGTAATACCTTTCATTCACTGTTCGTAAAACTGGTGCAGCATCGTGATCTTCGCCCAAATGACTCGCTTCACGAATAGGACCCCCCAATTCCCAGTGCTCTGGAGCCGCCCCTGGTAAAGTTATGAACTTGAAATTTTCAGGGAATGTGCCCAATCTAGTTGTAGGAAAAGTCAGAAAATTTCAGCTTCGTAGCTTCAGCGGTTTCGGAGATATTCCCGAAAAACCTGAGGGGTGGATAAAAACAACCCCCGCTGCCACTAATAGGGTTAAAGCACAGCGGGTTTTGCAAATGGCCTCATTAGATTCGTATTTCGTGTTCTTGGTTGGAATAAGTCGCTCATTTTATTTTGCCGTGGCTGGCGACAGTCTGCACTTGGCTGTTTTGGAAAGAGATGCTGTGCCGCAGTGCAGCCATGCTCGGCGGGTCAGTCTACCCACCAGTAATTCAGCCGGCGACGGCAAGCGCCGGACCAGTGCAGCGAAGAAAGACTGAAACGTTGTAGTTCTCGAGTGGGGTCTAGTTGTTACGGATAACGAAACACCTGATATTGTTATCTTTTCGAGTTCTTGTCATGGGTAATGTGAATCATTATAAAAGAAACGTATACCTTTAGAAGACTTTGCAACATAACATACCTCCTACCTCAGCCTGGCGACCAAGGAATATTGCCAGGGTAACGTTCAACTCCAATCTGTACGAAATTGCTCGTTCGAATGATTCACTGTCGGCTAGTCGCTCGCGACATTGTCCCTGGTGTCGGCTGACACCAAATATCACGACAAATGTCAACCTGACCCCGCTGGTAAATCCCCGCTGACTCCGCTGACACTCAGACCTAATTCTCTGACCTGTCACCGTCTGGCCTCAGCCAACTGCGACCGGCGCCGGGCCAGTTCCGTACAGCCATCTGCTGGAAAAGCCCCAACCCAAAGTTCAACGAGGAGTTCTGCTTCCGGTGCCGCCGCTCCGAACTGCCGAGACACACGCTGGACCTGCGCATCTACGACAAAGATATCAGCAAGAGCAACGACTTTATCGGTAGGCGGGGCGGGACAACGACCCGGGCCCGGCCTGACCTGATTTTGACGGTCGGGCGCCTGATGTGTGTGCATGTGTGTGTAGTGTGTACGTCTGTGTGTGTGTGTGTGTGCGTGTGTGTTTTCGAGGACACTGATATTGGATGTCGGTCAGTTCCAATGCTGTCCCAGGCGGCAGCGACATATCATGTTCAGAGAGAGGCGGTTAAGCTCGTTGGATTACCTCGGTCAACGAAATGGCCCATCACAAAATGAAATATAGCGTCGGGACCTGTGTGCTGTAACCGAGGGTCATTGGTCGGAGCCCATAATACCAGAACCCGACATCAATTCAATGTTTGGTTCGGGGAAGCCATATTACGCGCAGTTAAATTCCAGTATCAAGTTTCAAAACACGTCAATTTGATAACCCTTGATGTTTTCATGTTGGTATTGATATTGCGATCAAACCATTCATAACGGTAGTTTGAGGTGAAATCAAATCCTTTGATGCCAATGCAAGATCTGAAGTATTTACACTGCTTTGCAATGATTGAGCTTACATTGGCCAATATCTCGTCTATTATCCAAAAGACAAAGATGTTGGATTTAGGAGGGAGAACAGCTTTTCAGTTCATAAGCAGCATAGCCATTTCAAGAACCTTAATACCACTCTGAATTGGCGTCATTTGCCTTTCTCTCCCCCGCAGGCAGTCTCCAACTGAGCATAGACTCGCACGGGGCGAGATTACGTCATTGGTTCGACGCCCTCAATTACGTGGACACGCGGCACGACCGGTGGCATGAGCTGAGCGCCACCCTGCCCGGTCCGCCGCCTTCCTGAGGTCAGAGGTCGAGTCGGAACTCAACCAGCGAGGACTGCCAATCATTCGACAGAAAACGATCGTGTTTGCCAAACAAGTGCCGATGTTTCCAGCTCCTTGATGTGGTTGTTTTGCCTGGAACAGTAGCGTTGCAATGAGTTTGATGAAATGGAAATGATTGAAAACCGTCTAACACATGTTTTTTGTCACGCTCTACCTATACCTATTTATGTCAAACGCTTGCGTACCAACTTTAGCCTTGAGCTCACATAATTGAAAATATGTCAGCGATGGGTCAGGCAAGGTAGACATAGAACATCGAACAGGAGCACACCGTAAACACGCGGCACGGGCACCCCTGCGTTCGGGATCAGGCGCAGAACTATCTACCTTATCTACCTTTCATTGCTATTTTCCGTGTGTTTCAAAAGTAGCCCCAATATGCGTGTACCTCAGATAGGCTCGATACGTTATCTCGATTACAATAAGCAATGGTATGTGAAGGCGCAATTTCGACTGCAACGATAATGACCTGTTGTAGACTAATCGATTGACGTTTGACTTCGCAGAGTATTAGCAATCAGAAACATGAGCTCATGAATCGTATATCTCTTGTGACTCATAATCAACGAAGTAGTCACGCCAAAGTCCAAACAGTCATCGAATCCATCTACCTGTTGCCTAATTCATAGCAGGACACAGAGCGCACGAGCCTGAGGCCCGAACTATATGTACCATCTCTTCGTCGTCATGCGATGCTTAGCGATTTGAAGGATCATACAAACTTTGACATTTATAATCACGAAAACATTCTCTCTGTGTGTGCAGCCTATCTGAATGTGGACGGATATCCTTGACAACGTATCGCGCTGGCCGCTGCCGTGGCTGTTAGTTGCCGTTCCCATGGCAACATGCCAACAAGCATATCCGTTATTGTGTTGAGTAGCTACGTGTTGTTACGTATATTTTATACTCATGTCGAGCGATGGTGGAGGGAGCAGGCATTCCTGTGAATCAATACATTTGGATGTTGGCATTGTTGTGTTGTGGAACGTGGAACACAAATTACCTACCCATCGCTGATCGCAGATCGCTCATATTATAGTAACATCAAACAAAACAGCACAGCACTCCACTTTCACAGTCTATCATGGGTCGGCTGTGATCTGTTGATTTTCCCTTTAAACTTTACGAAGTGTCAGTGTCAAATCACGCCACGCCGCTCCCAACCACCAAAGATGAAAGAGCAGGTAGGTAAAGCGTTATATCAGGCGTGTTTTGGTGGCCGATGTGAGCCTGCTTCCCCAAGGGCGCACACAAGGGGGGGGGCACACGGGCCCGTGCCCCCCCATTCGAGTTGGGGGGCCCAGCTCGAAGGAATAGGGGCCCATTTGAGGCGGCCGAAGGCCGCCTCAAATGGGCCTCTAACTAATCCTTAGACTACCGAAGACTGTGTACAAAGGGCCCTCAAATGGCCTTAAAGGGCCCTCAGATGGTCTCAAAAGACCCTCAGATGGCCTCGAAGGGCCCTCAGATGACCTCAAAGGGCCCTCAGTTAGAGTCATAGGGCCCTCATCTGGTGTCGAAGAGCCCTTAGATGGTGTCAAAGGGCCCTCAGATGGCCTCGAAGGGCCCCAGATGGCCTTAAGGGGACCTCAGATGACCTCAAAGGGCTCTCAGATGGCCTTAAAGGGCCCTCAGATGTCCTCTGTCCTCAAAGGGCCCTTAGCTAACGTCAAACGGACGTCAGAAGGCCTTAAAGGGTGTCAAAGGTCCCTGAGCTGGCGTCAGAGGGCCATGCCCTGGCGTCAAACGGCTTGCCGAAGGTCCTAAAGAGTCCTTAGCTGGTGTCAGAGGGCCCCCAGCTGGTGTCAGAGGGCCCCCAGCTGGTGCCAGATGGCCCTCAGCTGGCTCCAAATGGCCATCAGAAGGCCTCAAACGGTCCTCAGCTGGAGTCCAGCGGTCCTCAGTTGGCGTCAAGCGGCCCTCAAAAAGCCTCAATGGGCCCTTAGAAAGCCTCAAGGCAGAGGTCGACAAAATTCATGGAGTTTCTCCGACTACCGGCCAATTTTCTCCAGGCTTTTCTTCGACGATTGTGAGAAATGATGAATTTGGATACCTATCCACGCAACCCAAAACACTGGTATACGGCATTCATAAGCCCTTGTTACACTGCCAAATTTTGGTACACGAATATGCAGGTCATCCTATGTCGCGGACCGATTCGGGATCTTTCTTCCACGGTCTTGGCATTTCGCAGACCATTCGGTGTCCACCGCGCGATTTTTATGGCTCGTCACGACCGCCACAAATTTTTCATGAAAAATGAAAATTTCGTGGCCGTTCGCCGAACTTGTGATAAACGAATATAATCCCAAACAGTCGCCGAGTCGGCGCCGACATATCCGCTGCATGCGCCGACTCGTTGCCAAGGTATCGCCGACTATTCGCCACAGATGAGTGCCAATGATGTAAAATACAATACAATACAATACCATACGCGCACGCAGTCCTCTGCCGACTGAAACCCGGGTGTGTTTTGCTCCTGCGAGTCATCCCCCCCCCCCCAAACCCCTACCTTCCCCGCGGCCAGCGCCGGCCTCCTGCCCTCCTGCCCCGCGTCTCATCTCCCCTTTTTCCTAGTCCCCTACCCACTCCCTCCCTCCCTCACCGCGCGTCGCTGTCGGGCCCTTAGCAGGGGTCGGCAACCTACGGCCCGCGGCCCGGATCCGGCCCGCGGCTGGCATCAGTAACTAACATTGTGTTCCGATCCGCGGCTCCTGCGCGTGATTGTAACAAATTGTGACCATGCTCCGGCCCGCCGGTTGCTTCCAAATCACATATCCGGCCCCAATCCAAAAAAAGGTTGCCGACCCCTGCCTTAGCGTCTTTGCCGCTAAGGTGGCTATTTCCCGTTATTGAGACTTTTCTTTGTATTTGAAGAAATTCCTTCAGATTCGCAATAAACATCGCAAGAATTAGCGACTATTATTGATAAATCTCAACTATTTTTCTCTTGTCTCAAGAGTTTGGCAGCTGAAGAAAACAAAGCGGTCGCCAAAAACACCACTTTCTCCGACTGCCAATAAGAGCGATATTTGGTTATGAATTGGTAGGGAAACCGACCTAATAGGCACAGAGCTGCTTCTGACCGGATCAGACCAGCTCTGACTAGGGAGAAAGTGGAGAAATGGTAGAAAACTGTCATCACTAAATTGTTACTCGTGCTGTTGTTAGTCGATGATATAGGTGTACGGATGTAACAATGTTGGCTTTGCTAATCTTAGAATTTCTTCCATGATATTTTCTTCTTTATGTGATTTTCGCTCGTTTGTTTTTCTCTGACTAGGGTCAGATGGTCAGAGATTTTATCGACCTCTGCCTCAAGGGGCCCTAAGAAGACCTCAAAGGGCCCAGAAGGCCTTAAAGAGCGTCAAAGGGCCTTGAGCTAACGTCAGAGGACCCCCAGCTGGTGTCAGAGGGCCCTGAGCTAGCGTCAAAGTTAAAGGGCCCCTAGCTGGTGTCAGAGGGCCCCAGTTGGTGTCAGAGGGTCATCCATTGGCGTCTAATGGCCATCAGAAGGCCCAAAAACGGTCCTCAGCTGGCGTCCAACGGTCCTCAGCTGCTGACGTCAAGAGGCCCTCAAAAGGCCTCAAAGGCCCCTCGACTGCTCAAAGGGCCCTTAGAAGGCCTCAATGGGAGCTCAAGAGACGTTAAACGGCCCTCAAAAGGCTTGAAAGGGCCCTCTGCTGATAGCAAAGGGCTCGCACATGAGTCAATAAGAGCCTTGTCAAAAACGGACCTGAGAAACCTTGCCGGCCCTGGTTATCTGCGGGACTCTTACACTTACCTGAGTAGCCCCCGTTTAATGAGGGGCCCTGGTTATTGATGGGGTCCCTGGTTACTTAAGGGGCGCCTGGTTACCAGAGGGGCCCATGGTCACTTGGTGGGCCCCTGATCAATTGAAAACCCCTGGTCATCTGAAACGCCCCTGATTACCTAAAGGGTCCCTGATCACTTGGATTCAGTGACATAGCAAGGGAGCGAGGGGTACGTGCCCGTTCTCGGGTTTAGGGTTCCTTCGAAACCGAGGGGCCCTGCGGCGCCAGTTGGTAGCAGAGGGCTCGCGCTGGCCGAACTTCAACTCGGAAGGACACCACAGGGCTTGTGGGGCACGTTATTGGCTCCTATGTAGCCGCAATTATCTTCATAAAGGCCCAATGCCGGTTTCTGAGAGACCTCGCCGAGCGCTCAGGGCCCTTATACATAGTAACGGCCAACGAGGGATTGGCTGCTATGGCTCCACATCCGTCTGTGATAGACACACGGCCCACACCAGTGTTTCTAAAGGCACCCACAACAGCAACTGCGAGGCCCCTCGCGCTACCTCCAAGGGACCCCCACCAGTGCATCGATGTTATGGGCCTACATCGGCGGCTCTGAGAGTCCCCACACCGGCGCCTCTGAGGGCCACGTACCAGTGACTCTGAGGGTCTCTTACCAGCCTCTGAGTGTCCTTGCTAGCCTATGAAGGGCCACTTTCCAGTTCCAGGCCATTTTGCAGGGCCACACACATGCCAATGATGGCCCCACCAGTGTCACTAAGCCCTAAGACCCCGCAACGGCGCCTGTGAGGACCCAACACCAGCGCATCTGACGGCCTTTCACTGGCACCTCTGAGCGCGCCACACACCGGTGACTCTAAGGAGCTCGCTCGCTTCGCTCGCGCCAATTTTCCACATTTTCTCATGCAAAGACCGTTTTAAAGAGACCCGTCTGCCAGTGAGACTGGACCCACCGTGCCTCCCTCCTCCCATCGAAAGGTCCTGGATACATCCTTGCCTGAGCTGACCCCGGGCCCCCGGGTGACTCGCGGGCCCGGGGCCAGGTGACCAGCAGGTGACCCCCTCGGGTACGAGTCCGACATGCATCGTACATAGTCCTGTTGATTTGATTCACCGGTTAAACATTAAATATAAGTTATAAGCTAGATCTCTAGTCTGTGATCCCGCATCGTATCAGATGTAATGGCATTTCATGTCGATGTGCCTAAAAAATATGCGAATATACCTGGAAAAGGAGTGCTGCTCCCGGGCCGGTCGGCCGGCCGGCCGTCAGTCGCTGCCCGGGGCTGATTTCTGAGGGACTTGCAAAAATGTTTATTAATGAAATGTTTTACGTAATAAATTAGACGATTAGGTACAAATTAGGTATGTGTACCGGCTCTGAGTCGCATTTGAGAGAAAAAAAAAACATGCTAGCGTAAAAATATAAATGTTTTGAAAATTAAGCTGGTACCGAAATAATTGTTTTACCATGCATTGACAAAAGCTCAAGCTTCAAACCAACCGAAATATAACCCCGTGGGCCGTATTTTTTTTTTTTTTGGGGGGGGGGGCCCTTCGGCATGGGGGGCCCACTTCGAAGGTCGTGCCCCCCCCCCATTCAAAAATCCTGTGTGCGCGCCTGTGCTTCCCGCGTATGAGAGTCAGACTCGTGCCGAAGACAAGAGAGCTGCGACAGGGGAGAGGGAAAAAGGATTTTCCGAAAATCCTTTACAGTTCTCATGTCGACAGCTGAAGGAAATTAACCCGCGCTGCGCTGCAGTGGCCTGAGTTTCCCGTGTCGTGCTGGAGTGGGGTGGGGGCGTTTTCACGCACCCCGTCTAACTCGGCTCCTGGGCCACGTAGCGACACGCGGTAAGCGGCGATCGAAAGAGCGTCAAAAATAATGACAGACACCCTTCGGACATATTTTAGGTCAGATCAAAGGTCATGTCACCAGAGGTTATCAAAGGTTAAATTTAGTCAATTTCAACAATTTTGGAAACTGCCAACGGCTAACTCTGGAACCAATAGAGCTAAAGCGCCGCGGAAAAGCGCATTCGATAGCCCTTCTACAGACCTTTCTGAGTATTGTTCTCAGATTTGACCTCCGGTCAAAGGATTCGCCTCCAGGGGAAAAAGCTCTAAAAATAGCAGTTTTCACGAAAACTATTTTTCGGTAATAACTTTTGACTCAAGAGAGCCACGATATTGATTTTGGCAGCATCATGTTCCTCTCGTCGAAACGCGTCGAATGAACTTTACGTTGGCCTTGAAAAGTAATTTTGAAAATTTGACCTCAGGTCAAAGTCATGACCTGACCGGAAAGGGTCATGTTGCATATCAGTCGATCCGTATCGTCGAGCTGAACACATCTGACGTGTTTTCACCGTTCTAGCACGTCTTTATCAAAAGTTATAGTTAAAAAAAACTGCTGTGACTTTACCCTCGCATGTGTGCGGCGTTTGCCAGCTTCTAAGTTCTAATGTGTAGGGGGGAGGGGGGGGGGGCGGTTGGACCCCCCCTTGCCGTTTGGCCCCTGATTGAGCTAGAGCTTCGCGGAAAAAAACGAGCGTGTTGCCCGTGACGAGAGGAAGCCGATGATACCCAATTTTGAGGTCCTAGGTCATTGGTTGACCTTCCAGGTCAGGTCAATGACCCAAAAGTCGGGAAAATCGGGACCTGTTAGAAAGTCGCAAAGTGAGGCTGCTAAGAGGTTTTCGGGGTGCTGATCACGAATATCGTGTTAGTTTTGATCACAGATGATGTCTTTAAGCATTTAGACCAGGTCGGGTCAGGTCAGGTCGGGTCAACCAGTAGGGTTCGTGACGGGTATTCGTAGTACGGGTCAACCGCTTCTCGCAGTTTCGTAACATGTTACAAAGGCACCAAAACTACTTTAATGTTCAAATAGTTTCTAAATTCGAATTCAGCTCCAAAAACTAGCCTAGAAACATGTAAAGCTCGAAAAAGTGAGCCGAGGTCACCAAAGGTCAATGACCTGACCTAACCTTTAGGTGATCTTGACATCCACCCAAATGCATGGGAGCAACATCAAATCATATGTTTGAACGTTCTAAACCACGAGAAGCTTGCAAACGCGCGGCTAATGTGAGCCGGCATACAAGCCGAATTGCGATTCCGGCCAAACATGGGTTCGAGAAATAGGTCACAGGTCAAAGGTCACTTGGGTCAGGGTCATGAAATTTTCAGAGTAGGTGTAAAATTGATCAACTCGAGGGTACTAAAGTTTTGTCGGGATCAGCCGCTTTTTACGCGAGTTATTCGCGAAAAACCATGGGGGTCCATCCGACCCCCCTACACATGCGAGGGTTTACCTGAGATGACCTCAGGGTCACACAAAGGGGTCACAGGTGTATTTTTACGGTTCAGTGTGTCTATTTACATATGAACCGATGTTTGAGGGGATTTAGAACAGCATTCGTCCAAAAGAGGCGCATTTCAATTTTCTCCCATTGACTTATACCTAATGGAGAGGTCGCAAAATCGACCTGACCTTAGGTAACAGATACAGGGTGACACAAAAAAACGGTCATCACCAAACTTCGAATAACTTCGGAAGTTTTATTCAGATCATCACCAAACTTCGGCCACTTAAGGTCACACCTATGTAGCATACATCCACCAAGTTTCAAGTCTTCACTACGAATACTTTTAGTACAGTGTGTGTTTTACTGACGCTCCACAATGTGCTCCAGGTGAGCGCCACGGCGCTGCAGGGCGTAGGCACACTTGCATCCGGCGGGCAAAGTTGTCGATAACCCGATGGCTGTGCACTTTACAGAGTGCAATGGCCTCTGGAGACAGCGCTCAGGGGGTGTGCTACCCCTGAAACGTTATTCTTATCGGGTTATCGGCAACTTTGCCCGCCGGATGCAGGTGTGCCTACGCCCTGCAGCGCCGGGGCGCTCACCTGGAGCACATTGTGGAGCGTCAGTAAAACACACACTGTACTAAAAGTATTCGTAGTGAAAACTTGAAACTTGGTGGATGTATGCTACATAGGTGTGACCAAAAGTGGCCGAAACTTGGTGACGATCTGAATAAAACTTCCGAAGTTATTCGAATTTTGGTGATGACCGCTTTTTTGTGTCACCCTGTATAAAAAATCCGAGATATAGATTTTATACATGCTGTTACTCTTATCAATCGCTGAAAGTTTCAAATTGATTCTTCAGTCGGTGAAGCTATAGCCAGCCTTTGAACTTTTTCGGGGGTAATGTCACTTGACGTGACCTGGTGACCGGACCTTGAAAGACCCGGTTCTGAAATTGTCACAACATGTGCGGAAAAGCGGTATTAGTAGGTGTACCAAAAACGTTTGAGATATTCGCGAAAAACCTGAGGGAGAGGCGTGAAAACGCCTCTCCCCCGCTCAGCACGGCGCGTGTTTCATTTCAGAGGTCGAGGCCCTGCTCTAATTATGCTCAGCTCAGTACCTATCTTATCGGAAGTTATTGGCACTCGTGGTGTAACAATTGAAAATCAGCCATTGTAATGCACTTACGAATTGCGTTAATCAAATGTCAGTCCGCCTGGCAGCGGCACGCGCGAACCTACGTATTGACTCCCGGTCCCGGTCGTTCCATTGTCGCGTCATTTGCTATTGACGGCGCTCGCAAACACCTCACCGGATTCAATCTAGCCAATCAGTGGCGTCACAGGCCCGCGGAATATGGCTGCTGTCGGGCTAATGCGCCGTACAAAGTCGCCACAGTGCTGTTTACCACACACACAGGCACGCTTGCCTGCTGCCGGCATTGGTTTGGGCGAAAACAGCCGGCTCGTTTTCGAACGACGCTGCACGTCGGTATTCCTCCGACAGCGTCCCAATCCCATCCCGAGACGCCGCCGGGCAGCGGTGTTCGAGCGCGCCGCTCTCCGTTTGCCAGAGTGCCGAAACAATGGCAACGGCGTGCCGAAACAAAGGCAACGGCGTGCCATTGAGATGCAGAGGTCGTTCGAAAGGTGTTGGACAATTGCGTCCACAAATTATTAGATATTCGTGTTGAAAACATGCACCATAGTCATAATTTATTAGGCTAAATATCATTCGTGTTTGTGTAGCACGATGTGTTTCTAAATTCTAAGCAACTGCCGACTTTGAGCAGTGTGGGGGAGGACGGAGCTGAGCTCAGACGATTGTGGATCAGAGTGAAAGAAAAGTTGACGAACCCGAAAATCATGGCCTTATCTCATGTCGACTTCCATTCTGTGAAAGAACAATGACACTGGAATTATGTAAAACGGATACACTTCATACGTGAGCTGCGAGTTATGCGCAGCTTCCAAGCACATGTCCCTGTCTTGCATCGTATTTTGCCTGCGTACGTAGGCTGTCCCGCAGTGCGCGTATGCCGAGCGGCACAGTCTACCGAACCTGGCTATAGTCAGAGGCCGGGAGATTCATGAACAATTTATGATTTATCTCAGTACACATTTTGTCTCTGAGTCGGAACCCGTCCAACGCTTAGTGGAAGACGATAACGGACCGCGGGAGTCAGCGTTAAAACGGTGAGGACGTAAGCATACTGAATAACTGAAGTGGTAACTGGTGGACCCAGTGGCTCCATCAGTAACTTTTGGTGAATGGTGTAGCGCCCGTTTCACCAAGAAACCTCGGTTGTGAAGTTGATTGTTAGTGAGGTGATCCAGACACCTAATGGTGCTATCAAAACTCAGTGTCCAGACCTCCTTAGGGCTCCTTCTGTAGCCAGATGACAGTGAGCGTATAACAGGTTCATGGCCTTCCAACCGGCCCCAGAAGCATCGGCCAACAAAGACATCGAAGCACTTTGAAGCGGTGCTAATGAAAATTGAAACACCGTCAGTCGATTATCTAGTTCGATGAACCAGCAATTCTAGCCGCGTTTACATAGGGGTTGTTATGAGCCACTAGCTTCGTCCAAAAATTTGCAAAATGCGTCAACAGCGCTTTGCAATTTATAAAATGTCCTTATTCAGCGATGCGAAGAGCACTTCATCAAAATTATCGCAGAATATATGAGCTAGACCCTCGTCAAAAACGCTTTGTAACCAGGCATAATTACTCCTAACGCCCTCTCGCAAATACGGTTGCTGTTCCATATAAATATATGTAGCAGATACATTGTGCAACGCATCATCCATTTTACGAAGCAATTATCACTACATTGATCTTAGATCACTGAAGATGAAAACATCTGAACCACACTTCATCACAAACACTGTACTGGGAGTGACGGTTGCGACCGATTTAGCGAGTCTCAGTCGACGGTGCTGCCACCAGTGGCAATATCTGTGCGATCGAGGCGCCAGCTGCGCTCCAACAGCGACTCCCGGCACCCGCCCAGACGGGTCCTGCCCTATCTCTCCTCTTTGAGATCCATCCCCGTCTCTACTCCGGGGTGTCTGGCACACCATCCCTGACTGGCCGTGGGGACGGCTCTGCCTCCTCCCTCTCCCCTCCCGCCGCCCGGTCCTCCTCCCTCTCCACTCCTGCCTCCACTGGTGCAGCCCTGTCCAACTCCGCCGCCCCGGCGCCGCCCTCCTCAGCCTCTGCCCCTCTCTCATCCTCCTCTACCACTCCCTCATTATCTACCCCTCCCTCGTCTTCCCCTACCCCTCCCACCTCCTCTGCCCTTCCCTCCCCTGCCACTACCCCTCCATCATCCTCCCCTACCCCTCCCGCCTCCCCGTTCCCCGCCTCCCGTCCACCACCCACCGCGTTTTCGGCGTTCGCCTGAGCTCCGTTAATCCTCCATCGGCCGTCAAACAAGTTCACCACGATCACTCCGGGCTGGTTCTCTAGCTCCTCGTCCAGAGTATCCTCCTCATGCTCCTCATCCTCCTGAGGAGAGTCCTCACCGTCCTCCATCTCGCCGTCCTCACAGCCGGCACACTGGCAGCGCTGGAGGCGGCGCCGCTTCGCTGCCGGCGGCCCGTCCGCGTCGGCTGAGGGGGAGGGCGAGCGGCGGCGGCGGCGGCTCGCCACAGCCCCCGGCCCGGACTCCGGGTCCGGTTTGGACTCATGGCAGCTGACGGCACAGCCGGGCAGCTGGTCGGCCAGCCAGCCGAGCCGCTCGCTGGACACGCCGCAGCCGGTCAGGTCGAGCTGCTCCAGGTTGGGGAGCAGCTGCGGCAGACGCTCCACCGACTGCTCACGGAGCCGCGTACGGCGCAGCGCCAGCCGGCGCAGCTGCGCGCCGCAGTGTGCGCCCAGGGAGCTGATGGCCGTGTCTCCGTCCAAGTAACCGTGCCGCCGCGGCTCGAGCAGCAGCTCGGTGAGCCGCGGCAGCTGACAGAAGCCGCTCACGTCACAGTCGGCCACCTGGGTGCGGCGCACGTCCAGCGCGCGCAGCTCGCGGAACCCCAGCATGCACGAGATGCTGCTGTAGGCGATCTCGCCGCCCAGCCGGCGGCAGTGGCGCAGCGAGAGCCGCTGCAGGCTGGCCAGCTTGCTGAGTGGCAGCAGCGCGTGGCTGTCGATCCAGCCGCACTCGGAGAGGTCGAGCTCGGTCAGACGCGGCGCAAACTCCCAGAGGCGGCTGAAGTAGGAGCGCCCGGCCGGCCGGTGCGTGACCTCGCTGCCGCGCAGACTCAGGTACAGCAGCGACTTGGGCAGCAGCTCTAGCGGCAGCTGGCGGAACGAGCACGGAGGTCAGAGGGTGACACGAGGTCAGCAGGGGAAACAAAGGTCGCTTCGGCGGGAGCATTATTGCACAGTTCTAATGCCGATGTAACTCTCCCGATATAACCATGCGTAAGATTTCAATAATACCGTATTCAACTAGCGTGCTTGAACGGGACGACCAACGACAGCCCGTTGTCAGAGCCGCTCAGTTCTTACCTCTGTGGCGTTCAGAAGGCACCGTTCCAGTCTCAGGTCCACCAGGCTAGACTCGCATCGCGCTTTGATATCTGTGGAGAGAGAAGACACAAATGACCGCGTAAGTCAAAAGTCATGGGATGAACTGTAAAGATCGTCCCGTGACGTGTTACCTACACCATGGATGAAAGAACCATGGTTCTCCTTCATCCATGCCTACACCGTACACACGTTTTGCTGACAAAGTTTTGTTGTTGTTTGTTTCGATTTTGCATTCGTCGCTACTACTCAAAGTTCTGCCGGGCAGCACAAATGTACTGTCACCACCGCCACTGCGCAGGTGCTTACACCCGCAACATTGCATGGTATCAACACTTTTCTCCACCAAACGAACACAAAGACGAACTATTGAACCGAGTGAGTCGCCCCGTGCTCACTCACCGGTGAGAATGCGCGCGGTGAGCAGCGGGGGCCGCACCGGCCTCCCGCGCTCCACGTGTCCGGCTACACAGACGCGGCGCGTCTCATTGTGAAGGTGACGCAGCAGGCGGGCCAGCTGCCGCGCACGCAGTCGGCTCTGCCGTAGGTCCACCTCGTACCACAGAGAGCGGTCCGAGAGCAGGCCACAGAGGCGCCGACATGTCCTGAGGGGGGGGGGGGGAGGAAGGGGTCAGCGGGCCGCACAGCCGCCGGCACGTCCTGTGGGGGGGGGGGGCGGGAAGGGGTCAGCGGGCCGCACAACCGTCGGCACGTCCTGAGACGAGGGGCAAGAAGAGAGGGATCAGCAAAGAGGTCAGCAGGCTGCACAGGCGCCAGTATATCTTGAGGGGGTGGGACAACACACTAACACAGACGCTGGCACGTCATGATAGGAAGGGGAGGGGTCAGCGGGGCAATATCATCAGATGGAGGATCAGGATGAGAAATAATCTTTGTAAGATGCTTGATTGAACAAAGAAACGTCTCATCATTGAATATGTTAGTTAGAAGCATAAGTTGATTAGATAGCATGACATAAACAAAGAGGTGCTTTTTAATGAGTCTTCAAATGATAAATACTGATATGTGAATCTGGACAGTTGCTTACCTGGCTAGTAGCAAGATATCTGATGTTGTGAGGTGGGACATTACTTGCAGCAGGAGCTCATCAGGTAGGTCAACCAATGAAGGTTCTGGTGACATTCTGGTGAGAAAAAGATCGAGTCTTAGCAGAAACATCACAATGAACTTAGTTGACTAGGTACCCAACTTATACCTAATAGGGTAAACATTTCATCAAGCAAAGGTGGAAAGTCTTCCAATATACCTTAGCTACTTACAATTGCAGTGGGAATTTTTAACACCACATGCACAATAATCACTCATCCCTTTGAAAGCCCCTCTGGGCTGTAATGCACAACAGATGGCTATTATGTGCATGTAAGATGAATTGATAAAACTTCATTTTCAAGTTACCCTGAATTGCACGACTGGATGGTAGGGGTCTGGGCCTATGCAACAAGCCCAGCTTAGGTGGGCTCTGGCTGTCAATCTGTCCATTCAAACTCCAAATCAATCCAATAAACCATCCAAAACCAATTTTAGAGCTAGCTGGATCCTCTGGTGATAGCTGTATTCAGTAAATCAGTACCTATTGCAGAACTGGGGAAACTACAAGGAGCCAAACAAAAATTGGATCAGCCAATCAACAGCTGGAGTGGGCAGGGCAATGACCATATATGGTCATAAAATCAGACAACTTCATCTTTTCAATGCATCCTAGCATTCAAATGAAAAAAAAATAAGGCATAAGAATGTTTTTTAACCACAGAAGGCCTACACTCACTCGGTGCACAAGTAACTGGCGGCTCTAAATCGCAGAGTTACATACAACACAAGGTCAAACAGTGATTGGCAAATATGGCAGATTGAAACAGACGCGCCAAAAAATGTAAGCAGTACCGTGGTTTAAAAATGTCATTATTTTTATTATTTTGTTTATGGTTTTTTCTAATTGTGGTTAAGTTATTATTTTAAAATTAAATATCTTTGTTAATTGTAATTAAATTAAATCTTTTAACAACTTTCTTTCAAAACACCGATCCATTTATTGAATGGCCAGCTGATTATGATGCCCAGAACCTGCAGAAAATCCGTTTTCCGATCGCCATTTTCGAGTCAATCCGCCGAATTTAATCAGATCACGCTAATTCCTAGTGGAAAATGGAAACCTTTTCTCTCTGATAAGTGGACACGTGATACCACAAGTACCAGTTTGTTTTACCGTTTTTCACCCTTAGTAGCATTGGCTGCATTTATGCCCATATATGGTCATCAAAAGTCCATTTATTGACCAATCAATTTTTAGATCTTCGCCTCGTAGTTTCCCCAACTTATTGCCTATTGGTATACTCACATGTGATTTGAAAATCCTACTGATTTAAAATAAGAGCTGTATGTTAACAAATAATAACAAATTTAAGAGAACCAGCAATTCTACCACACTCCCACAAACCAAAGCCAAATATTATAAAATTGACATTATGACATTAATATATTTGCATCATGATCCTCGCTATTTACCGCGTAAGGATGAACGATTACAATAGCTCAAGTTAAAATCCTGGTCCAAGTGCATCATCACCACAAGCGAATCAATAGGCATTTTTGGGAAATACATTTCCTAGGGCGCCAGGTCATTGGATAAAGTAAACTTTATTCGTGACGTCACAAAGTTTATTTAAGTTTCACTATACACAATCATTATATAAGCCTTACTGGCTCGAATTCAACGGTGCGCTGAAAAATGTGGATCACTGACGTCACAAGTATCAGCAAATCAGTGCTGTAACTGAAGCTCGATCATGGTGATTTATTTTGATCAAAGTTGAAGCGGAAGTGCTATTGAATGGATTTCTCGTAACAAAAAAGAGAATTTATGTCTACATTGAACAAACAAAATGACTGGCTGCAGCTAACCATTTTGGTGCGAGAGAAGAGAATAGCAGATGCAGTTGATCGATACATGATCTGATTGCATTGATGGTAATGTGGTTTGGCCTGATTGGAATCTTCATTTTATCTTTCAAAAATCACATTTTTTAAGAGATCAAATATTGACGTCTTATCTTTTGGACTCATGATGTCATCAAAAACCAATGCCATTCTGAAAGGCTTGTGATGTACGTCGACAAATTGTGGCGCATCCGTCTTTCCTTTCGGCTGGGCGCTTCCGGCGCTTCCCTACCTCAGGCCCATGTCACTCCACTTTTGATGACATCATATGGGGGCCTCAGGACAATAATGGCGCGGTGCGCCACAATCGCTTCAAAGCTACTTGCCAACAGTGCAGAGCCTATGCGATCTCTGCAGACGAGAATCAGAAGATTTGGAACATTTTTTCTTAAGATGCGAAGCGCTCAATGATGTGAGATCTGCAATTGAGCCGTTGCAACGACCACATGTGGAAGACAGCACCGAAATATTGGCAAACCTTTTATTTAGTAATGATGAAAAGCAAATGGAGAAAACTAAACATAGTGTTTACAAGATGTGGGAAGCAAGAAGAAAAAGGATGAGGCAGTGAAGTGTCAGCAAATCAGTGCAACTATGAAAATTTAAAACCATGAAAATGATGACAAAGAATGAAAAGAAAAAGATTATGAAAACAATATTTCAATTAAAGCCAACTAAAGGGAAATAACATGAAACAAAACAAACCGAGAAAAACATCACTGAAAATGTCATATAGGTACTTGATACCTACGTTGTAGTATGTGTTCGTGTTCGTGATGGTCGTGTCATGTAAAACTGTTGTGTTTGTGGGGGCCGCTGCAAAGGCATTACCCAAATAAACGTCACGTCAGTTGCCATTTTTGAAAATATTATTTTGAAATAAAGTTCCAAGTAATAAAAATATTGTAATAAAGTTGTTGAATAAATCGATACCATATCTAAAAACTTACTGAAAAATGATTTATTCATAGTAAAAATATAAGCTCGATGCGTTTTTACGTTGCTTTCCTTCAACTGCAGAGGGTTTTTAAATCGTCTATATCTTCAAAACCGGCCATTTCTTAGCATATTGTTGCTCTTTTTTATCGCTAGAAAATTAGCTGGACTTTCCAATGGCATCAATGGTTGAGCGATATGTGTAGAGTGTCACCAACAATCTTCAAATGAAGTTAGTCATTTTTACGTTGTAAAGGAATGGAGTACCCCTATCGAGCATCAGGGGTGACGTCACTCAGGATCTGTCTCTGATTGGTCGGCGGGAGAGTGACTGTACCTTCTATAGATGGCCTTGCCCTACCTTTTCTTCTCACGAGCCAATCACTAGCCACAGTTTGTGATTGCCTGGGAAAGCATCGGATGGAAAAGTTGGCTATGTGGAAACTCGCTTACCTTTTTGGTTTTATGAAATAATATTGTTCAACCTGTGCGTGAAGCAGTGAGCACGTTGGCGCCGTTTGGGTACTCCGAAGCTATCGTTTTGTGTGATGGCCGATGCGGATAAGCTCAATATCGATAGTATCATCGCACGGTTACTTGAAGGTAAGCAGATTAATTTATACAAAACAGATAATAGTATTCCTCATTTTTAGATGCTTTTGTAGTGACCTCATTCATAAGTGCTACTTGGTTTTAGCTCTGGATTCTACTGTTGCCGACTTAGTCTTTTGATCAAGATAAATACCTAATTCAGTAGGTGGAACTATGGTCAAGCGTATCCATTTTCGGGAACGCATTTTCGTTCCCATGTTTGGGAACGATAAACCCAAATATGGGAACGCCATGTAGGCATTATTTAAAACAAGAAAAGAACCGTTAAATGACGTCCAAAAAATATAAAACGATCTTGAACCGCCTGATATTTGTCTCAATATTGTTGGGAAAGAGTTTGATATTGTAAGGCCCATCGTAGTTTCAAATCGTTCCCCTATTTCTAAAGCAGTCCATCATCCGGGCCGTGAGCCCAAATTTGGGAACGCTCTCGTACACTGGCGCTGCAAGCGTTCCTTATTATGGGAACGGCGTACCCAAAATTGGGAACGATTTCACCGACGCCTTTCAGGGGCTCTTTTCATTAAAGGGACCCTCCCACCTTCAAAAAAGTTAATGAATTGGCATAAAAGTGATGTAGCGTGAATCACAAAGAGCGAAAATGAACATCTACCAAATTTTACCGGAAAATATTCAACCGTTTTCGAGATATAAGACTTTTATTTTTGTTTACTTTTTGGGAACTCCGCTGTTTCTATGACGTCACATAAAGGTTTTCTTTACGTCGGCATTTGGAAGCAATAATTTGGTATCAAAGTGCGACAAATATTGCGCGAATGATGCGTTTATCTTATCAAGGTCAATATATGATGGCCAACAAAGGATTCCAGGACAATTCTTCTTATGGCATTTTTTCGTATCGCAATTCTTCGTCTGCAAATCTTCGTCAGGGCATTTATTCGTATCGCATTACTTTGTCTCGCATCAGTGTATATGAAAATCGGCTCGCATTTCTTCTTCAACGCAAATATATGCAAGAGTAAGCATTGATGGACAAATAAATGCACCGACGAAGATTTGTAGACGAAGAAATGCGGACGAAGAAATGTCATGCGAGGATTCGTTCGGGTACCATGACATTTATGTGATTTCAAAGTCAAGGTTCACAGCTGATCTGCAAAATCAAGCCAAGAATCCAAACTATCGAAAAACTATAAATATTTGTTTGTCTGTCACAGAGGTCTCAAGCAATATAAGGTTGACATATGTTGAATCAAAAATCTACTGCCACAACTCACATCTCCTGCCTTAGTTTATCATTGTTGTTTTAACTTGCTTTCAAGAGAAACAGAAGCCAGTATCTGATATCACTTCAGATGATTGTTTCAAGATCTGAGTTCAAATGGAATTAAAAGCAAGATCAAGATGAAACAGGGATTATTGCTGTTAAAGTAGTTTGGCCATGATACAACAGGCACATAAATCATTAGCCAAATCAAATACTGGTTGGTTTGTCAAGATGTTTGTTGTCTGTCGTCTGTCGAGCTGCTATGAACACTGAACGCTCTCACTCTTACTTTAAAGAGAGTAGTTTAAGTTGAATGGTAGTGAGCTGTAATTAGACAAAGCAGCTATTCAGTGCTCACATCAAGCCAGGCTAGGAAATGGCATCAACTGTGGTGGGAGGAAGCAGGTTCGGCAGGCCTATGTTGTAAACTTCTGTTGTGTCTTGTGTTTGATCAACTGATGTTTTCTGCTCTGTTTTGTGCAGTGATAGTAGCAGGTAACTGCATGCTTGTCAAATTATGTGAATAAACGAATTCATAACATTGCATTTTTCTCTCAATGCAAGGAACAAGTAAGATGTAGAAAATGTAATAGAGGGCTGCATTGCTGATTTCATGCACTTTATCAGAGCTTTATTTAGAATTG